GTCGGAAACTAATACAGTCAAATAAGTAATACTCGACCAAATGAAAAAATGCATGTTGCGAATGAAGCTTCACACTTAACATTGTCTTCTTTGTCATTTCGGGCTGATTTCGAACAGAGAACGAGAATACAGGGCCTATATTAGTTTCACCCATCTACAGACCGCAGCTTTTGACAATGTCGTCCATCCATCTCGCTACAGAACGTCCCACGTTTCTATAACCATTTTCTGGCTACCATTCGGTTATCGCTTTACTCTATCTGTCTTCACCACGACTCGCAGTATATCCTGTCCAGCTCTATTTTAAGTTCGTTATCCGATCTCCATGTCCTGGATCTTTGTTCGTCTTCGGATTTCGGAATTTGTAAATTTGATGCCAAGGATGACTCGCTCCATGGCTCATAATTTACAGTAATTGATGTCTCATCGAAATTATCATTAAGCTGGACGCTCCACGAACGGAAATCTAAGTTTTGCGATAAAAAAAGCGGTAATTTTTTGGCGCCTCATAGGCTTCACGATAGTGAGTAATTATTTTCTGTCATTGTTATAATAAGCGCATGTGCTATGTTGAATTGTTATTTTGCTGTTAAATGTGTACAATCTTTGGAATACCCACAACACAGGGTTGGAATCCAAGACTACGTCTAGTCCCCGATGATGGAAAGAGGAAGGCACATCGCACACTCTCCGTGATATATCCTGTAAAATATCGATAAGCAGGCAACTTTACGGCGGTGTTCAAGGCTCTGCAGCTTCGCCTCTACTAATTCCGAGTCACCTATAAGTCTCTTGGCACGCTTGCCAATAGAATCCAAGGTGGCCAGTTGGCATGTAACAGAGCCATCCCAAAGGTGGTAGCAGTAGTGTAATTAGTAAATAGCTCCATACACGACCGGACTTGTGCTAGATACTGCCTCTTGACTGGTTAAATTGGCCTAAATGTCTTGAAATCGGGCTATAAATCTTTATTAAAAAACAAATATTACAATATATGCGGTACATGGCCAGTTCTCTTCTATCTCTTTGATTTTTTATTTAGTAGGGTTTGTTTGGCTTTACAGGCTGTACGGTATGGAACTTTTGCCTACCCTATTGCGTTTGTTGTCATGGATTGTTAACAAAATATAAATTAAAAATTGATTTTGTTTCATTATTTTATTTACTCCTAGAAGTATTGTATGCAATCATTACATAATTAGGTCTTAAAATCTCTTTATTTCATATATAATAGACACACGCTTGGCCACAATCTCACCTGATGTTAAGCGACGATGTGACCGACGAGGGGACGCGTTTGCCTAAAAAATGCCTATTCACTCTAGCCTTGAAATTGTACTTTTCGGGAATACACATGCTGGTAGAACATTCCATTCCTTTGCCGTACGCATCGGAAAGGAGGAAGCAAAGCGCTTAGTGCGAATATGTGGAATATCAACGACATAATAATGGAGTGCTCCGGACTTTCTGGTCGACTGAAGGAGGAACGGTGAGGGTGGAACTAAATTGAAAAGTTCCTGCGCACACTCCCCGAAATGTATCCGATAGAAAGCCGACAAGCAGGCTACTTTTCTGCGATGGTCGAGATTTTGTAGAGATCTCGTACTTATTAATTAGATTAACACGGTACTCGGTTTTAGATTAAAGATTATTTCGGTTAAAGAACCCTCATTAACCAACGATTGCATAAAATACTATTTTCTTGGTTATGCCATTAATATTAAACATTTGTTCATTCGTTTGTTTATATTATCTCTTTTTATTTTAACAGTTTTGCCAAATTAATACTAGTATAGTTCCGTAGTCACGGCGCGGGCGCCGGCGGCGTGCGTGCACCGATCTGTTTGCCCCAAAACATCCGCATGCGTTTCAAAGCTGCGTTCGCCGCGCTGCCGTAACTTATGTTCTCCTCCGTATACACCACATAAACACGTGCAAACTCTTCAAAAACAAAAACAATAAAACAATCTTAAAACAAATATTAACATAGAATAATATATTCGCATTTTATTTGCACAATTGGCCAACTTCGGCCGGATATCGGGCAGTAATGGCCTATTTTTACAGTTCCCGGGTACAATAAAAATTGATAATCAACTAATCCTTATTTGCATTGAAGGTGGGTGAAGTGGGTGGTGTGATAAGCTAGCAGGTAGAAACCAATATACGATTTTATTTTGTGAATTTTTGCTTTCATATCGCCATTGCAAGCGCGCGAACTTGCGCGGCGTGTTGTTTCGATGAATCGACTGTATAACATCGAATAATAATAATATTATTAAAAATTTCGGGTTAATAAAATGTTCAAGAGATACTTCGTTTTTTTTTTAATTGTCGGGAGTCATACTAAGTAAGAATTATACTAGCAATTAATCGGAAAACCACCGTTCAACAAGAAGACGCCAACGCTCATCTAGGTAATATTAAAAGCTCGCTCTAGCTCTTATACCGCATAGAGTTTATTTTGGAATATTAAAATTACTAATTAACCTTTAGGTAAGGTAAGGTACCTAAGTAGTAATTATATTACATACCCTAAAGTCATACTACAGTAGTAGTATGACTGTAGGGTATGTAATACCCTAAAATTTTTATGTAGCAGTAAAACTCCTTGGAAAATAGTTTGTCCAGGGAAGTACTGCCATCTTACTTATTTCTGCCGCCAAGCAGTAACATGAGCATGTAAGGGTGCTGGTGAAATTACAGGCACATGGGACTTGTCAACTTATGTCGCAGGGTGACTGGCGCAGCGGTAGTGCCCCTCAGATCTTTGTGTTTTAAAGCTCTGAGTGGTACTGCAACTGTAAAGGACAGGCGTGTAGGTTACCACCGAAAACGGCTTGTCACTTGATATTATAAAAAAAAAGTCTCAAAGTATGGACTTGAGGATTATTCACTAATCTAGAACCACTACTACGTTATGATCCACTCTAATGATATTTCAAAGCGGTCACACGCTCCATTATCACAGGTTCTCTTACATGCAATACAGTACATAGCTTTAAGAATAGAATAGAATTGGACAATTCATATTTTGGTGTCCCATTTCGACTTGTTGCTTAACCACCGTTACTCACTTTACACGTTATTACTATTGCAAAAACTTGTTCTGTGTACCGTTTAGGTTCTCGGGTTTCTCTCAGAGAAATGTTTAAGGAGACTGATATCATGACTGTGGCATCACTGTACATTTACTCAAACATTTTATATGCCCGTAAAAATATACACAATTTCATTAAGAAAGAAGATATCCATAATATTAACCTTAGAACTAAGTCCAAACTCAAGGTAACACGATTTCGTTTAAGTAAGGTAAACGATTCTATTATGGGGAACTGTATGCGTTTTTACAATAAGATTCCGGAATATACATTAAGATTATCATTTCCTAAGTTTAAAACTTATATTAAAAGTATTTTAATTGAAAAGTCATATTTTAAAATAGAAGAGTATTTGTTAGTATTTGTATGGAAAAACAACATGAGTCCTGATTCCACACAATTATGATTCAAAGTGTATTCCATAGCATTTAAGTTTATTTGAAAAGAGCAATCCCTTGAGTTTCTTGCTCGTTCTTCTCAGGGAGGTCTGCATAGTGAACGAGCAGTAGCTTAAAAAATTTCATTTTCAAGTGTAAAAATGTTATCCAAGGAATAAATGATTATTTGACTTTGACATTGACTAATTTTTCATCAATAGTACAATAGATTTAAAAAATAATATTGATTTCATTTCGTAAGTGGTTTTATTTGTCTTGCTCATTAGAAAGAATTTTCATATTTGTTTAGGTTTTTGGAATTCGAACTTGACGATGGACTGTAGTGCACCTAACCGTTTCTTTCGATGAAAAAAAGATAAAGACACGTTTAACTACGCGATTTGTCGTAATTTAATTATATGAGTAATACAAATCAGTCGTATATTTTATTCTTATTATTGTTGACATTAAATTGGCAATGATAACTAATTGTGTTTATTAATTATTTTAATTCGTCGAAGAATCAAAATAATTTCAATAATCAAGTTATCACACAAAATAAAAGTACAAGCAGGAATAAAAATTGATGAGGTGTAAATTCAGAACGCGTCCAAAGGTAAACTTTTTCTTATAATTAAAAAAACTGATGTTTTAGTTCAACTGTTTTTCTTTCATCTACCATTTTCCTCACTATAGTGAGGTGAAAGTTGTGTGTTTCGCTCGGTAGCAAAGTTCTTTTGCGTCTCATGTCTTGAAACCCCCGCTATGCGCAGGAATCTATTTGTTATTCCATTTTATAAGTCTCTTTTTTATACTATTTTATATTTTTACAGTGAGGTGAAAATTTGTGTGTTTCGATCAGCAGCAAAGTTATTTTGCGCCTCGTGATTTGGAACCCTTGCTACGATCAGGATTCTTAGGCTTGTATTCCAGAACTTTACTCAATACTCAAGTCAGGATCTGAGTATGATTTCAAGCACTGGAAATACGACCCTAACGGCAGGGATTTGAGTATGATTTCGAGTGCTTTAAACCATACTCAAATCCTGACTTGAGCATTGAGTAGAGTTCTAGAATACGACTCTCAGACCCTTCGCTTGCTGGGATTTCAATACAAGCACTCGTGTCAAACACAACTTTGTAGCCTTGTATAACAAATTACTATTGTCATTTTCTCAAAAACGTTCGGTATATTTTCAATTTCGCCACTTTATTATAGAGGGTGAGATATTATTCATTGATGGGAAGAGCATCTTTACCCAATGAAAGTAAAACAGTACACACAACGCTACACCAATACACATAAACTTGATAAATAGCATGAAGTGAAACAACAATGCTGCTGCGCCATCGCATTGGCGCAACAGTGTTATTCTACAACCAATATTATCATAAGCTGTCTAGGCTAACTATGCCCCCGAATCCTCACCGCATCGAGTACTCAAAGCAGAGGGCGTGTCCACACCCACTACAGGGTTAAATAAAAATAGGGTGGCAAGCGTCACAACCCACAGTCAGCGCCTCGACGCACGCGCGGCGCTAGTTAGTCATACAACTATATTTAGGTATAAATCACTCTGATTCGAAGTCACTATAAATTTAAGTCAAAAGTTTTTTTTGTCAATTATCAACATAGAGAAAATGGTTGTGTAATTTGTGATTTTTTTGAGGGATTGTATTATTTTTAAGTATTTTAGAACAAGTAAGTATTAACTTCATAATTTCGCATATTATTTTTTTTTTAATTTATTACGTATAATGCACGCCATACAAGTCGCTTCAAGCCTTCAGCGGCTTGCTTTTTAGTCCTGGCGTAGCGTGTTTTATCCCTCGTAGCACTTTGAGTAACATTTAAAAATCATTTGTAGAGGTAAATGAAAAGGTTACCACGCTGGTCTGCCACATGGAGATCCCAAGTTCAATTTCTGGGCCGGGAGAAATATTTGTATGGTCTTTTCTCTCGTAAGTTTGATTGTAATTTGTGGTTGTCGGTGTTTGTGTCCATGACACCCGCGATACAGGGCTTCCCTAGTGCGGAGTTTTGAGTGTATGCTTTATTTATTTTCAGGCATAAATACACATAATATTTTGTGACTAAAAACGACCATGAAAAATTGCCTCATTTAAAGCATCTTTAATTTTTTATTGTTTAGATAAATGTGTAACAGCACTGGCAGTCAGGCTGTGGTAACTGCGAACTAGAAGCCACTTTAAATGAGAATGCATTCCAAACATACAATGTCTCATACAATATATGCAAACAGTTCTAATTTTACTATACCCATTTCTATCTACTCTACTCGTACTCTTTCTTACTTTTGAATTGCACTTAGTTTACTTTTTATTTTATCTTTTTCATTGTCCATTGCCAACTTGAACAAAGCGTCATCGTCTTTAATAGTTTATCCGGCTTCATTGAAAACCAGCATAACGAGGAATCCCACAATGGCTCGTTACAAAATACTGAATGGAGACCATTTTGGTAACATTTTAAATAGAAAACTATCATGAAACTCAAACACCATATGAAACTACCGGTTAACTCACGTATTCAAAAGAACGGAAACAGTTTTCGAATTTTCGTCGAGTCGCCGCCTCGGAATCTCATGATTAAGAACCATGGACTGCTGGATATTTCAGCAAAAAATCGACTTAAATTCGTGAGTTATCCTACAGTTCAGTAACTTTTTTATTTTATTGATTTTAAATGCAATTGTTTATATTTGATAATCAAAAGTTTTTTTTTTATTATTATAGGTAAACCGAATTTATGCAATCGTTGCATAATGTTCTTAAGATCGAGTCCCGTGTTTGGATGTGAAAGCCTCGTGCTTTGCCGAGTGGTCTAATAATAGATACGAGATTTTAACACCTAGATTTTAACCCTAATTGCATGAAATACTTTTTATACGAGTAAATTAATATAATGAAACACAATAATTATTTAAAGATTATTTATTAATAATCCATGACATCAACTCAAAAGAGATATTGGCCAAGTACCGCTTATATTTTCACCAATCAGGAGGCTGTAGAGTGTTTGAGAAGCGTCTTATAGCGTCTAAATATTTGATATTTGAATTACCTAAAATACGACGTTCTTTTTTTGAAACTCAATATATTGTAATAAGCAAGTACTATAGACAATAGAATTTTGTGCGCGCCTTTGTAACATGGTTTATGATATTACAGAAGTAGAAAAACAATTTTTCTTTATTTCTTATTTAAGACAAAATTAAACAAAAAAACGAGAATGTATAAATTTTAAACAGCCCTAAGCACTATAAAACTCCAATGGTTTTATCATTAACTTTTCGACCTAAAATCTGTTGTTTATGCCCCAATGACCATAAAGAATTCAAATGGAATTTTCAACTCTATCACATTAACATAGAGTATATTAAAGTAATTTATGAATTAGCGTGACGCGTGCCGGTCGCGTGCCGAAGCGTATACAGGTGGTCATAATGTAACTTTACCCTTAATTTTAACTTGTTTAATTGTTATTATTAGTTCTCGACTTATTTGAAAACCAGAAGAAGCTAATTTGGAATACTTTATAATCTTCAAGGCCTTTAAACTTATGTATCACTTAATATAGTAGTAGGTTTGTGCATTGTAGGTACAAGTAATAAAGAGTCAGTAGAGCTCCTTGTGAAAGATTTCGTCCAAGAGGGTAATGTTCTATGACGTCTACTATTCAAATACAAACAATAGCAACCGGCCACGGCACTTTTTCTTAATTTGAAAATTTCATATTCATTTGTTTTGCACAATCAAAACCGAAAAATGAACCCTCGAAAACCGGAAGTGGAGCACCGGAAATCGGGCGTGATAAAGTCAACTGAGTGTCGGTAGCACCAACCGGTCACGTAGTCACGCAAGCTTCGGGAGTCACCTGTCACGCTTTGACATGAAAATTGCACTAAATCAAACACTAGTTCGGTAATTGGTAGCAAGCAAGCAAAACATATATTGCATTAACCATTTTAAAACATGAGTTAGAGAAAACACTAAATATATAATTATTAAATAAAGGTCGAACACTTCGACAAGATTCGCTCCGGTTGGATTTGAACCAACGTGTCCCAGCAAACCGTGGCAGATGCTATGCCAACTAAGCCACGAAACGAACGAATTTTGCCATGTGTTTGTTGCAGATATTTGTTTTGGTTTTTAACGACTTTTTGCCGTAGATCTGTGAGAAATCTATGAAAGTTTTCTCTTCACTCAGGGAAAGTATCTTTACAGCTACCAGCCGTTGACTAGAGATGTGACTTTAATAATTGTAATTAAGTTTTATTGAGTCTTAAGATGTTCCACCATCATGATATTCAATATATAAGATAACAAACTAGTGAAGTAATTCTGACATTCAATGAAACTTATTAATTAATTATTACTAAGTATACATTTTATTCGCGGTATTTCAATCTGCCTTTAATCTTCCGCGTTAGAACAAAAATTAATTTAAAAAACTTAGGTGGTAACGATTTTTTACTTCAAGCTTCTAATTACAATAACGTACACAACAAATATTCCATAGGAAACCAATAATTTTTTTCCACGGTTTCCTAAAATAGTGGTTACCTTATTAATATCAATTTCTTTGTTCACAGGTACAAAATGTTCAGCACAAACTTTGAAGACTACTGTGACTTCAATGACAGCATTTGCAGCAATGACTCCGGCTTCGACAGATCCTATGCAGACTCGTTAGCCACACCCACGTCGGTCGGTAGCACTCCTTTGAAAACCGAAGCTGATCTCGGTATATCTCTTACACCTGTGAAAGACAATGTTAGACGAAGACTCTTCAGTGATGAATACGAATTCCCATTTCAACACCAAGTTGAAGACGTCAAAGTTTTCGATGGAAGTATTATTGCTGATGCTACTTCGACGCCTGTAAAATCTAAAGAACGTAAGCCTAAGGACCCGAATAAGCCAAAAAGAAAATACGCCAATGGAAAGAACCGTGTTACAAGATGCAAAAGTCCAACTCAAATAATGAGAATAAAGAGAAACAGGAGAATGAAAGCCAATGACAGAGAGCGGAACAGGATGCATATGTTAAATGAAGCTCTTGATAGATTACGTTGTGTTTTACCCACATTTCCTGAAGATACAAAGTTGACAAAAATTGAAACTCTGCGATTTGCCCATAACTATATTTTTTCTTTGAGCCAGACATTGGAATCATTGGATAATATGAATACCGAACAAATATCTCCAGAAGGATTTCAAATCAATTATGAGAAGTTACAAAACTATTCTGCAGCTGGGGAAAAATTTGCCAAAGACGCTTTTAGAGACATCTTCCAAGCCCCAAACAAAACTGAAGACATTGGTGATGGTAGTTACAGGAACTTCCAAGGATTTTCAAGACCATTTCCAAATGGGTCAAATTTTATGCAGACTTCCGAAGGAGTTCTCATTAATGTAGGAAATGTGACAGTGTCTGTTAACAATACGGGTGGTAATTGTATAACATCAACGACTGGAACTGGATTTTTCACACATCCAGCTAGTTATGGGGATAATTTAACGCAACAAAATATTTGTCAAACAAAACCTTACGGTTCTTATAATTATGAAGGATATGATCCTAATATGAACAATGGAGAATATTTCAACCATAAAAATTACGAAATATTTAAAAATGCCTTTGAAAACGCTAAAAGTAATAAGAAATACAAGACTGAACATGATATGTCCAACTTTGATTATAACGCTGCTATATATAGTCGTAATGAAAGTAATTTTTATAATCAAGAATATGAGAATAATTTTTATTATAGCGACCAAAGATTTTATAGAAGTTGTTACAATAGAAACAGTATTGTAAATGCTCAAATGTAAGTAATGAAACTAGTCATTCTTTGTACAAATGTATACGCCAAAGCTTTTAAGAATAATAATATTTTCTATTACTGGACAATAAGATAATTAAACTGTAGTTTAAATTAAAGTTACTAATATTTTTATTACTCTAGTCATTTTATGTTAGAAGTTAAGTGCAAAATATATTTCTTTTCTATTTTGTATTATGTGGTTTCATTCCTGCATTCCTTTTTATATACAAATTCTTCGTATTGTATTCATTTACTTGCTGTTATTAATTAAACTACAATCCTTTTGTTTGTCGTTTTTAAGTGTGTATTTGTGTTTATTATTTTTGTTTAATAAAAGTAAACAATGACAAAAATAAAACGTCACTATTATTTTCACTCATAAGCCATTAACAGAAAGAATGACTCCCAATTTAACTGTCAGCAATTAAATAGAAAACCAGTACACTTGATTTGTTCTGTAATAATAAAAGCAACCATGAATATAAATCAAATTGGAACAATACCCGTTAAAGAGCGAAAAGTTGTGAATGCTCCCGGCGAACCCCTGCTTTGGCACATTGTTCGGTGTTTAGAAACTACTACCAACATTCACTTTCACTCAATGCAATGAAATTTCAACTATATCTCTCTATCAATAAAGATCAATGGAACTATATTCCTCATTGTTTGGACCTTAGAATTCATTGACAATGCCAACCTGCTTCTCGTTTGTAGTAAATCCAACTTTATTTTGTAAGATAGATGGTTCAGTGGAATAGTTGACGTTAAAATGTTCAGAATAGGGGCACCCGTTTGAGCTCTAGTTTCGAAAACTAATGTTTGCATTGGAAATTCGTTACGGGATATATTGTTGTACGTCTGTATTTGGTCCAATGATTCGGGTGTCATATTCCTTTGTGTTGCCGCGTCAATAGTTTGGACTTGATGGATTTACTACGTGCCATTTACTTCATTGAAAAAAAAATACGCAGGACAAAGTTTTGTTACATTTCTCCTATATATTTTCTAACAACCTCTATATCGTATTCTGTCTTGTTTTCTTATTTTCAAGGTGGAAACATTAAAACATTCTGATATTTGAAATAATGAATTTGAAAAAACATTTCTACCATCCGGTAACAAAAATCAAAGCAGCTGCTTGTTTATAGTAACCGTCAAATTGAAAATACCATAATTATAGACCAAATCTGCGCTTCGGTTACGCTCTATTGTACTCAGCAATCGGCGCGGGCGCATTGGCGAAAGGTGACAGGAAATTCACTTCCGAAAATTAACCAACATTAGGAACTGAATTAGTTTGTTGTTTTGATTCTTTAAAATTATTGTTCATGACAGTTATCTACTGTAGTGCAATGTTGGTAAGCATCAATTTCCACAGAGTACATATTGCATAGTTTTTTTCAACAGAGTGCTTATTTGAATATCGTAAATCAAAAACCTACGATATACTTTACCGTTGTTACCAAGAAGTTGGACTACAGAATTATGGTGCGTAGGGTAGTAGTTTAGCTGTGGCATTTCATCTCATTAGTATTAGGTCTATTTGTATAGCTTCTTACCAACCATTTTATTAACACCATGTACCTATAGGTAATTAACACTATGAAAGTATAATCTGAAATAAATTATTCTATTTTACATGCACGACCAAACTCGCCTAGGTTAGTAATAGCAATAGAGATCCTTGTGAAAAGGTTCGTCCAGGGAAGTATTGTCACCTTACCTATTTCTGCCGCAAACAGTAATCTCAGCATTAATATGTTCCGATTTTGAAGGTTAAGGGTGCTGATGAAATTACGAACACATGGGACTTGTCAACTTATGTCTCAGGATGACGGGCGCAATGGCGGTGCCCATAAGATCTTTGCGATTAAAAGCGCCGAGTGGCACTGCAACTGTTATGGATAGGCGCGTTTCTTATCACCAGGCTCACGACTTATTTGTCCCGCTACTTGGTGTTATAAAAAATAGGTACCATGTGTAGGTAAAGACAAACTAAATTGTAGAGTTACTTACAATGAGATACTCTCTGTATAGTGTAATCTATACCCTTACTTAGTTAACTTCAGTCTACAGAACACTAGGTAAATGTTTTAAGGTATTACTTACTTACCGTATCGATGGTATAGACTTGCAGCCCTATGGGAACATCGGACAATGTTATGTTTGCCACAAAACTATGGGACATATTTACGGCGTAAGGCTCTCGCACAAGGCATATGAATAGTACGTTTTAAGGGGAGGCTTCTTCCGTGCACTCCGAAAAGTTATTGAAAACAATTAGCATTATGGAAAATTCGCGAAGAATGTTTTAATATCGTAAATACTTATCTTCCATGTCTTTGACTACACTGTCTTTCCCAGATCCATCAATCTAGAACACAGCAAGGCGTTGCAACAGGAAGAGCGCGGTGTGGTTCAACAAAATTGTAACAATGTATGTTTTGTCTGTCACCAACCACCAAAGTTGTATTCAAAGGGCGTCTGATATTTAGCCTGGGGCAGCCGTGATAATCCATTAACATTGGTCGCATTGACTGCATAGCGGTCGGTGTGTCGCTTTGTTGTTATGCTGTGGGATTAGTGAGCTACAGAAATGAAATTGGCAGTAAATTGGACGTGTTTTGATAAAGAGGTATATAGTACAAAAAATCGACATCATTATCGCTATCATTATCACCGAAACTCGCCGCGATGACGATGATTTGAAGAGAAAACTCAGGGTATTGGTCGTGCGTTGTAATATGTTGACCTGTAGGGTTTTTTTACAATATCAGTGACGGGACGAACAAGTTGTGCACCTGACAATAAGTTACATGCCTGTCCATAACAGTTGCGATGTCACTCAGAGCTTGTAATCGCAATGATCTGAAGGGCACTGTCACTGCGCTCGTCACCCTGAGACATAAGTTGACAAGTCCCATATGCCTGTAATTTCACCAGCAGCCTTCCCTTCAAAGGTGGCAGTACTTCCCTGGACGAAATCTTTCATAAGGAGCTCTACTGCTACTAGGTTCGCGCGTTGTGATGATGAGGAAGTTACTCTCTTCAAAGCGTTTTGTCAAACTTTTTACAAGTGCAGCCTGTGGGCCAGTTACGCCAAAAGACGGTAAACACCCTACGTGTCCAATACAAAAATGGTTTTAGGATGTTGTAGGGACTGCCACGCTTTTGCAGGTATATTCGCGGAGGCGCGTCCTGACAACTTCACTGCGATAATACGCAAAAGAACTACCTCCCTGATGCGGCGCGTGCATGACAGTTCCAACCATAGATATAGACGTTCCAACAACCTCATGCGGTTGGTCTGGGAGTATCAGATCTATGATATATTTAAACACTGAAACTTCATACACGCGTGTATAACCTAATGTAATTTTTTTTACAACCTTTTATACTAACATAGGCTATAAGTTTTCTGTAACTACCAACATGATATGGGCAATGTCTGATACATCTTTTTAATTTGATTTGATATAATTTGATTAAACCGCACGTTCGAAAGTTTGGTACGTCAAAGTTGACTAACGCGGAATGCTACCACTGAGAGCTATTTTACTACGGTGAGTGTTTATTTTTGCCATTTAATCGGGACGTACTATTCACTCTATGTATATTACTTAAAATATTTAAATTCTGCATGTCCCGATATTTAATAATGAGCCATAAAATGTACTCTTCAAAATATACCTAATAAACTCCGAACAACGCAACTAAAATAAAAAATAAAAACTTGAATCAACAAACAAGTATTAGCTTAGCGGACTAAGCAAACACTAGTGAGTGCCCCCAGCGTCTGTTGAATGAATTTTAAACAGGACAGACAAACAGACAGAAGCAATTAGCCCGCGGCCGGTTAACCAACATTAACATGTGATAGTGAGCATGTGTATTTGATTTAGGTTCTTTAATTTCGAAATTTAATAGAATTAAATAAATGCGGTAGTGGCCTAGCGGGAGAACAGTCGCTTCTCAATTAGGAGCTTTATGATTGGAATTCCCGTAGCGGCGTCGACAGGGTCAAGAATACTCCTGTATACTCCTGTACCTATCAATTATAATTTCATAAATCATATCGCAAAGGCGCCCGTTTTAGTTCTGAATCTATTCTTTAAGACATTCGCTGCTAAACTGAAAAATTTCGATGAAAAAAAAGATCGACGCATTTTTGCTAAATAAAATACAAATATGACGCTACTACAAACTACAAACGCTCTACAGCCTCCTAATTGGTTAAATTGGCCTAAAGGTCTTGCAACTGTGCCATAAAACTTTATTAAAAATTATTGGTTAAAATGTGAGCGGTACTTGCCCACTTCTATTCTTCTTAGGTTTTTCGATTTCTAGCGTTTGTATGCCGTTTGTGTAAGTTTCTTATCAGGGGATTATTAACAAAATATACATTAAATATTGGCTGTGTTTCATCATTTTTAACCGACTTCAAAAAAGGAGGAGGTTCTCAATTCGACTGTATGTTCTTTTTTTTGTATGTATGTTACGCGATAACTTACGGGGTACTTCCATAGTGGTCCCATTTCATTTTGAAGAAAATCATCCACCTCGAAGGGTGACTGTTCGCGCTTGAAGATTCATTTTCATAAATAGCGCCTAACATTAATTTAGGAGCAATTACTTTAATGGTTGATTTTGCTATTTCTCCAATTCAAGGCGTTTTTCTCTCAATATACTTTGAGTAGTGAGAACCGATTTTTATTATCTCCAGTGTCAAGTCCTGTATAGTGGCGAACTAGGGGATATTTCAATAAAACTTAGCAAATAGACGTAACTCCACGTACTTTTGAGGTCGGTTTTTTTAGTACTCTGTACTGAGATTATATTAAATTGTAGAAAAAAATATCGCATGCAATCATTAATTAATTAGGTTTTAAAATCACGAACCTATTACTTAGGCCATTTTTGAAAACCCTCAATCATGAGGTTTGCTTGCATTAGCAATGATGCATTAGCAACTATTTCAAATAGCGTAATGTTTTTTTCAGACCCTAT